TGCCCCAGCCCAGACCTCACCACTGCCTGCCACGCTGACTGTCCAGCCAGACTGCCAGGCCTGCTCGGAAGGGGGCCCCAGCTGGCACAGGTAGAAGCCCCCCATCTGTTCGGAGACGTTGAAGACAAGCAGCTGGACGCCCAGGGACCCCTTCTGGATGACCACGTCTTGGGGCCCGTGGCCCGGATCTGACTGAGACCCCTGAAACCAGGCCTGCCGCTCATGGGGACCATCTGAGGGACGGTTGAGACATGGTAGCTCAGCTTTGCCTCCCTCTGAGGAGAGAGAGAGGGAGGGAAGAGAGGAAATCTTCACCCTCTTGATTCCTCACACCAGGTTATTACCCAACGACTCCACCAGCTGGGAGTGGAAGAGCTCTCAGAGTCCTCCCAGCCCCTCCCTGAATTTTACAGATAACAAAATGAAGGCCCAGAGAGGGTAAGTGACTTGGCCAAGGGCACCCAGCCAGACCCGAGTTTCCAGCCCCATCTCTTTTCCATCTGTACCTTCTGGACATACCTTTAGCCATCACCAGCAGTGTTTTCTGGGGCCTGACTCCCTCGGGGGTAAGGAAGAGGAGGAAGAAGAGAAGGAGAGGAGGTGGCATGGCGGCCAGACTCCCCGGGGCACCCAGCTTGGCCGCGCGGGGGATGCTGGGGCAGGCGGGGGCCTGGGGGGGCACTGAACCATGAGTGTCTGTGGGGGCGGGCGGGCGGGCAGGCAGTCCCCTGAGGGAGGAAGGGGTGGTCACACCTTCAGTCCCCTTCTCCATGCACGCCTCCAGACCCACAAAACTTGTCTCCTCCCTGCCACACTTTTATTTTCATCCGGACGCTTACCACCGTGTGAAAATGACCTTGGCTGTGTGTCTGCTGGTTCACTTTCTGTTCCTCCCACTAGAATGTAAGCCCTTCGGGGCAGAGCCTTGGTCGTGCTCAATGCTGTACACATCATGGCTCTGGGATGGTTCTTGGAGCATCACAGGCACCCAATAAATATTTGTTGAATTGAGTGGCTGCACACAGTAGGCCTTCAGTTAATGGGAGACAGTCCCAGCCAGCAGCTGAGAGCACAAGCCAGGTTGTGTGCTCAGCCGTCCTGAGATGATCAGTGCCCTTTAGTGTCCCACTTCTCCAGGAAGCCTCTGCTTCAGTTATGGAAGGAACCCATTTAGAAACGGGGAAATTGAGGCCCCCCAATGGGCAGGGTATTGCCTGAACTCACACAATGAGCTGGTGGTCTAATAAGCACTAGAACTCAGGGGTCTTGACTCTGAAATCTGTGCTTCCACCCCTCCCCGCCCCAGTCTCTCTCCTCCTTCCTCCTCTAGCGCTCTCTCTCTCTCTGCCTGTGTGGATGTTATGTCCATCTTTCACTCTGCTGTCACTCAGGGAAAGGAGTCCAGGAGACCTGCTCACTCCGTTGCTGGTTCCCAGGCCCGACTCGCTAGGCTGCAGCTTCCTGTTTGCTCTAGGCAAACCTCAGGGGACCCTCCAGCTGGCAGGGCCCCCACTTCCCTTTGGTTGGGTTGAGGTGGCTTGGAGGGGGAGAGTGAGGCATTGGGGAATGCAGAGGGTGAGGTGGCAGGACCCCATTTGCCTTTCAACAAAATCTCTCCAGTACCCTTCCTTTTAGGCGGCCTTGGGGTCAGTTTCCTGACTGGAGCAGATCAGTCCCCAGCTCTGAATGCTGTGGTGGCTTTTTCCGTACCTCAGATAAACACTGCAAACCATGGCCTCCAAAAGCCTGAGTCAGGCTGCGGTGAACTACAATTCCCACCTCAGCCCTCCACTGCTCTGCCCCTCACTCCACACAAAACCTTCGTGCTTGCTTCTCTTCCTCCTGGATCCCTCCTTGGCTCTTTCCTCCCCTGGCTCCTTTTCATCCCTCAGGCCTCCATTCAAATGTTACTTCCTCAGAGAGGCCTTTCCTGACCCCCTTGGTACTTTTGATTTCACACCCCTGTTTTATTTCCTTCACAGCATTTGCCCAGTTCCCAAACATGCTTGCTTCTTTGTTGATCTCTCATCTGCTTCCTGCCCCAGAATGTTCGCTGGCTCTTCCACAACAGGGATCTTTCCTGTCTTGTTCTCTGGCATCTAGTAGGTGCTCAGTAAGTATTTGTTGGATCTAGTGGAAAAGTTCATAAAGGGAAACTAGGCCAGGAGGGGGAGCTCTCATGGTGAACTACTTCCCCAAATATAGGAAGCTAGGTCAGTTACAGACCCAACAGAAAACCCCTCATAGGAAAGAGTTGTCAATTACAGGCCCCAACAGGAAAAGATGTATATCTGTGGTTGCATGTCCTACAAGAAATTGATCACCCCTGCAACTCAGCCAATGAGAAACCATCATCACCCTGAACTGCTTTTCTCCAGCGGACTTTCTTCCAAACAACTCCTCCCAACTTCCTCCTTCTTTTCCCTAAAATAACATTTCTCTCCCTTGTTGGTTGGGCCAGCCTATAGTTTTGCTGTAGCTTGCTTATCCTGAATTGCTATTCTGAAATCAACGCAGTTATTGCCGCGAAAGTACCTTTTATTTTTAAGGTCCACAAAAGGAAGGAAATTAGGAAGAGCAAAAGAAAACGTTCTCTTCACTTCCCTCACATGCACTCAGTCGCCAAGGCTAGTCCAATTTTCATCCTCAATATTTCTAGGATCCACTTCCTCCTCTTTTTGGACTCTTCCCTTCCCAACCTTCACAAGCCTCTTTTGTGAGGTGTCTTCTATCCCTTTTGCTTTCTACCTACACTCTACAGAGAAAGAACTTCCCTTGGTATTAGTCATGTGTATCTCCTGCTCAACAGCCTTCAAAGGCTCCCAGGGTCTCAGGATAAACTCCAAGCCTGATAGCTGACTGGAACCTTATCATCATCATTTCATCTTTTTTTTAAATATATTTTTTAAAGATTTAATTTATTTATTTGACAGACAGATCACAAGTAGGCAGAGAGGCAGGCAGAGAGAGAGAGAGGAGGAAGAAGGCTTCCCACTGAGCAGAGAGCCCGATGAGGGGCTCCATCCCAGGACCCTGAGATCATGACCTGAGCCAAAGGCAGAGGCTTTAACCCACTGAGCCACCCAAGCGTCCCAACATTTCATCTTCTTCTCAAGAAACTCTGCCTCACACACAGAGAATCTTAATCTTAGGGCAGTCAGCTACTGAGGGCAGTAAGCTGATTGGGATTTATAAGCAAGAGTTAACCTGGCCAGATTTTTTAAAGTTTATTTATTTGCTTTAGTGATCACTACACCCATCCTGGGGTTTGAACTCATGACCTGGATCCTGAGATTAAGAGTCACTTGTTCCTCGGACTGAGCCATCCAGGGGCCCTAATCTGGCCAGGTTTGCATTTTCTAAAACTCCTGATGGATGCAGTGTGGAGGGGAGATTAGAGGGAGGCCAGAGAGATCAGTAAGGAAAGTGTTCCTTCCTTCGTTCGTTCTTTTATTCACCAAATGTTTATTTACTTTTTTTTTTTTTTTTTTTAAATCAGGCACTGTGCTTAGTGCTGAGGAAACAGCAAGGGATAGGACACCTCATGGAGCTTTGACTCAAGTTTTGGGAACTTGGAACGGGAAAGGGTGACAGGTAAACAAGTTATCAATAAACAATTTCAGATGGCAAGGAGTCATCTAATAGTGGGCAGGTGATAGAGGTAGCTAGCTACTTGAAACAGGATGGTCAGGGAAGGCCTCAGTGAGGAGGTGAGGAAAAGCTTAGTATGTTCAAATAAGGTCATGCTCAGTTTTGTTAGGAACTGTCACACTTTTTTTTTAAAGTTTATTTATTTAAGTAATAAATACCCAACGTGGGGCTCTAACTTGGGACCAAGAGTTACATGCTCTTCCAACTGAGCCACCAGGAACCCCAGAAACTATCATATTCTGTTCCAGAGTGACTATAACCTTTACATTTACCATCAGGAATATAAGAGAAGTCCAGTTTTTCCCCATACCAACCAGCATTTGGTATCATCATTCTTTTTAAATTTTAGCCATCCGGGTAGGTCTGTAATGGTATCTCCTTGTGGTTTTAATTTGCATTTCCCTAATGGCTGATGATGGTGAACAATTTTTCGTGGGCATATTTGCCATCTGTGACATCAGTGAATTGTCTATTCCTGTCCTTTGCCCATTTTCAAAACTGGATTGAACTGGAAGATTTTAAGCTGACACATGTTTTTGCAAAGATCACTCTAGTTGCTTTGAGAATTAAAGGAGCCAAAAGGCGCCACAGGGGAGCACTAAGGAGGTGTTGTGGAAGCTCAGGAGAGAGAGATTGTGTTACTGCAGGAGAAAAAGAAAGACAGAAACCTTCTGGAATATTCAGTTCTTTGGAGGTAGAGCTTACAGGACTTAAAGGCTGCTGGAATGTACTTCACAGTGGTAGGAACGGGTTTGGGAGAATGGGAATCAAGATTCTGGACTAGAGTTTGGGCTGCCCGTCAAGATGTCGGGTCGCCTGTCGGACGGCTCACAGGTAATGAGACCTCGATTTAGGGCAGTGGCCCAGGGAGGAAAGGAGGGATTTGAGAGGCACAGGGAGGGGGCGGGGGGGTTAGCAGCAAACTCTGACTGGTTGAGTATCAAGGTGGGGGTGGGGACGCCGAAGTTTCTGATTTCTCCGACGGACTACGCGGGACTCCTGCGCCCTGAAAAGCGAAGCCCACGAAGCCCTGCCCCGAGGGACGCTCCAGCAGGGCGGAGGTGCCGGCAGGCCCGGCCACAGCTCTCTGTAATGTGAGCCAGGCTCCGGCAGAAGGGGGTCAGGGAACCGCGCAGGAGCTTGCTGCGGTGCTCGGAAGAGACCGCGAGAGCTTCGCCCTTCTTTAGGCTGAGGCCGGCAGGCGTCTCGGAGGAGGTGCAACTTGAGCAGACCTTCCAAGGTCACGCGGAACCGCCAGAAGGCCTTTGATGAAAGAACTTCTTCAAGGTTTGAAGGACAAGTGTCCTTCAAACAACCGCGCTGCCCCGGAAAGAAGGCGGGGAGGGGCGGGGCGTGGGCCCGCGGACCGGCTCGGATTCGGAAATCTTCGGTCCGGGCTCGGCAATCAGTCTCCAACTCCGGCCTGGGCCTCGAGCCAGGGGCCGATCCGGAAACAGCCGAGCGGATCCGGAAACAGCCGAGGGGACCCGGAAGGGGTGAGCACCGTCACCAGGGAGTGCTGGAACCCGCCGTTTGCGCGGAGGCGATGGCGGCAGCTGTGCCGGCGGCCGCGGGCGAGGATGGCCGGCGACGGCAGCCGGGGGCCGGTAAGTGAAGGCGCGTCCATGCACACAGGGGGTGGCCGAGCCGGAGGCGGGCCGAGCTCGGAGCCGGCGGACAGGGGGATGGTGAGGGGAGACTGGAGAAAGGGGCGGGGCCATGCCGTCTGGAGAGAGGGGCGGGGCCAGCAGCCCCCGGTGGAGGGGGCGTGGTCCGGGGGTCGACGGGAAGGGCCAGTGGCAGGTGAGAGGTGGTCCAGTGAGGGAAGGGGCGGGACCATTGGAAAGGCGGGGTCTAGTCTGGGAAAGAAGGTGGGGAAGGCGGGGCTCCAGGCAGCATGTGGCAGCGCGAGGTGAGAAGGAGGCGGGGTCAGGTGAGCGGGGCGGGGCCAGATGAAGGTGTGAGGATCGCCGCTGCAGTACTAGATTGTGGACTCCTAGATTTGATGGTTTCGGGTACAGGGGACCCGGGAGTGATGGGAAAAGAGGTTGATCCCCGTCCCCCACAGCTCTGGACCCCCAGCCCCAGGAAGGGGCGAAGGTTGAGGCTGAGTCAGAGGAGCTAGGCCGGCTGCGGGCTGAGCTGGCGGGCGCCCTGGCGGAAATGGAGACCATGAAGGCTGTGGCGGAGGTGAGCGAGAGCACGAAAGCTGAGGCCGTGGCTGCAGTGCAGCGGCAGTGCCAAGAGGAGGTGGCTTCGCTGCAGGCCATCCTGAAAGGTGAGGCAGAGAGCGTCTTCCCAGACCCCCCCGCGGCCCCGTAAGAGCGAAATGCGTGATAAGCAAGGGGTCAGGGGCCACTGATAGGCTGTAGGGTAGGTTAGCTGGGCTGCCTAGCTCAGGGCAGGCCTCAGGGCCCAGAGAAAGGGGTGCCCTTTTCTGATTTGCATAGAGGTGCTGCCCGCGCTAGAAGCAGCTCTGTGAGTTCCAGCTAAGTTTAGCTCCCAGCTTCTGCCTTTTCCCTTGCCACATGTCATTTCTTGTCCCTTACTGATGACCGATCAAGCCTGAAAGATGAACAACTTTTCAGTTCCTGGAACCAGCCTCATGTAAGCCTCCATCTCTGTGAGTCTGACCCTCTGGTTTCCTGCCTTCCCCAAGCACCTGTACATTGGCACTGCCCCGTACATGTTCAGACTTCCCTTCCACTCTCTGTCCTTGAGATGACCAGCTCCCTGCGCCCCAGACCCCCCAGCCTCCGCTCTAATTTCCCCTTTCTCCAGTCAGAGGCCAGAGTCTCTGAAATAGCTTCCAGCCCTGTCCTACCCCTCTGCTTCTGTGTCCCCTGTGGGAGCGACAACTCTCCTGGACTGTGCCCCAGCCTTCTCACAGGTCTGACTCTGTAGTCTGGCCTTGACATTGGCTTCCAGAATGAACTTCCTAAAACTCCCAGCTCACCATCTTATTTCCTTTTCTAACAACCACTGTTGGCTCCAGGCTTCTCTGGGGCCATATTTCCCACATTTCAGGCATCCACATACCACCTGTGAGTCATGGTTGTCTCCTTGTTCAACTTACTCTGTTATCTACCCAGTGTTTGTTCTTCTTCTTCTTTTTTTTTTTTCTAAGATTAGTTTTTTTGACAGAGAGAGAGACAGTGAGAGAGGGAACACAGGCAGGGTGAGCGGGAGAGGGAGAAGCAGGCTTCCCACTGAGCAGGGAGCCCGATGCAGGGCTTGATCCCAAGAGCCTGGGATCATGACCTGAGCCGAAGGCAGACACCTAACAACTGAACCACCCAGACGCCCCTCAGTATTTGTTCTTTAAATAGATGCAATTTGGAGGGTGGGGAGCACCTGGGTGGCTCAGTAAGTTAAGTGTCCAACTCTTGATTTCAGCTCAGGTCATGATCTCAGGGTCATAAGATCAAACCCCACACTGGGCGCTGCACTGGGTGTGGAACCTACTTAGGATTCTCTCTGCCTCTCTCCCGCTGCCCCTCCCTTAAAAAAAATAAATAAATAAATAGGGACACCTGGGTGGCTCAGTTGGTTAAGCGGCTGCCTTCGGCTCAGGTCATGATCCCAGCATTCTGGGATCGAGTCCCACATCGGGCTCCTTGCTTGGCAGGGAGCCTGCTTCTCCCTCTGCCTACCACTCTGTCTGCCTGTGCTCTCGCTCTCTCTAACAAATAAATAAATAATAATAATAAATTTTTTTAATAAATAAATAGACCTTTAAAAAAAAACTCACATACATTTATTTTATTTTTTTTTAAATGTTATTTATTTGTCAGAGAGAGAGCGCACACAAACAGAGGGAGAAACAGGCTCCCTGCTGAGCAAGGAGCCTGATGTGGGGCTCCATCCCAGAACCCTGGAACCATGAGCTGAACTGAAGGCAGATGCTTAACTGACTGAGCCACCCAGTAAATAAACTTTAATGTTTATTTTAATGTATTTTTATTTGAGAGAGAGAGCGGGAGGGGGGCAGAGGGCAGAGGGAGAATCTCAAGTAGACTGAGTTGAGCACAGAGCCCCACGCAGGGCTTGATCTCATGACCTTGAGATCGTGACCTGAGCTGAAGCCAAAAGCTCAATCGACTCTGCCACCCAGGTGCCCCAATAGTTAACATTTATTGAGCACTTACTATGTGCCAGGCTCTGAGTTAAATACTTCATGAGTATTTATTTAAGTCATCTCTATACCCAATGTAGGACTCAAACTCACAATCCCAAAATCAAGAGTTGCGTGCTCTTCTGACTGAACCAGTCAGGCGCCCCAATTTATGAGTATTTAATCTCCATTAACAGTCTCCATGAGGTTGGAATCAGGATCTGTTTCCATTTTGCCGGGGAGGCTATGAGGACCAGAGAGGTTAGATAACTTGCCTAAGGTCACAGAGCTAAGAAAGCAGGCAGTTTTTCCAGGAAGTCTGGAAAGAGACCTTTGGTTCTAATGTTGGTACATGTTAAAATAAATAACTGCAAATAAACACTGTTGGGGCTCTTGGCTGGCTCAGTTGGTGGAACATGTGATTCTTGATCTCGGGGTTGAGTTTGAGCCCCACGTTGGGTGTAGAGACCCCTTAAAATTAAAAAAAAAAAAATCTTTAAGCCTGGGGTGCTCAATCAGTTAAGCGTCTGACTCTTGATTTCGGCGAGGTCATGATCTCAGGGTTGTGAGATCGAACCCTTCGTCAGGCTCCGCAGTGTGCTCAGTGCTGGGCATGGAGCCTGCTTAAGAGTCTCTCTCTTCCTCTCCACCCCTGCCCCAACTCACGTATGCACACTCCCTCTCAAAAAAAAATTTTTTTTAAGAAAAAAGTGGCCCTGTTCCACCCAGCACCATCTCCACCTCCCACTCACCTGTAGGATAAATTCCAAACTCCTTGGTGTGACATTCATGGCCTCGGGAGGCGTCCATGCCACCCTGTCCCCGCTTTCTGGCATCTCTTCGGGCACCTTCACTCCAGCCTTGCTGCGTGCCCAGCCTGCCACCCACCCACCGTCCCCTTTCCCAGCTCTGAGCCTTTTCCTCTGCTCCGTGACTCTGTCCTTTGTCTCCTCCACTGCCTGGCGGCGTCCTCATGGCCAGGCAGGCAGAGCGAAGATTTCCTTCTTCTGGGACTCAGAAGCCCCAGGAATGGTCCTCTTGGGGCCTGCTGCATTGTAACTGTTTCCACAGCTGCCTTCCCCATCAGAATGGGGGCTTCTGATGTCAGCGTTCATGTTTGATTCATTTCTCCATGATAGCGAGCCCCACTCGTCACCCAGTAGAGCCAGCAGCCTGACCCTCCCTCTCCTCTCCCTTTCCCACCTCTCCAGACTCCATCAGCAGCTACGAAGCCCAGATCACTTCCCTGAAGCAGGAGCGGCAGCAGCAGCAGCAGGACTGTGAGGAGAAGGACAGGGAGCTGGGGCGCCTGAAGCAGCTGCTGTCCCGGGCTCACCCCCTGGACTCCTTGGAGAAGCAGATGGAAAAGGTTGGGGTTTGGAAAGACGTTGAGGCAGCCAGGGGGACCATGGGGCACTGGTAAAAATACTGGGAACCCAGTAAAAATTGTAGGTGTAGCTCATAGTAGCTCTGTACTTGGCAGAGTCCTGGCTCTCCCACTCGCTGGCAGGATGGCTGGGTTTGTTTGCCTCCAAAGTGAAGGAGATGATGCAGGGGGAGGGGAGCTGACACTTGAGGACAGCACTCATGCTCTAGGCACTGAGAGCACTGCTTGACAGAGTCTGTCTCTCCCGTCTTTCCCCATTAGACCCATTTCACAGATGAGCAAGGCGAGGTTCAGGAAATCGCCCCAAGTTACGTGCAGAAGAAAGCAGAGGAGGGATTTAAATATTGAGGCAGCCTGGTTCTGAAATTCTTGTTCTTTTTTTTTTTTTTTTTAATGATTTATTTATTTATTTATTTATTTGACAGGCAGCGATCACAAGTAGGCAGAGAGGCAGGCAGAGAGAGAGAGAGGTGGAAGCAGGTGGAAGCCTGTGCTCCCTGCTGAGCAGAGAGTCTGATGCGGGGCTCGATCCCAGGACCCTGGGATCATGACCTGAGCCGAAGGCAGAGGCTTTAACCCACTGAACCACCCAGGTGCCCCTAAAATTCTTGTTCTTAATGTCTGTGGCTTATCACCCCTTCATTACTGGTGTCCTTGACCGTGGGAGGCAGCTGATTTGCCGAACTCCGTCTTTCAAAGCACGTTCACGTCATTAACTCATCTGATCCTTACGGCAGCCCTGAGAGGTAGGGTAGGTGCTTACTGCATCCATGCAGGAGGAAACAGGCTCTGGAAAAAGACCTTGGGTAGAAAGACAAAGATCAAAATAGCCCAAGAAAGGAGGCTGGCAGCCCGCATTCCTAGCAGAGGCAGCTGCTTGCATTCCCAGCGGTCCCAGGGAGCAGGGCCACAGTGGGGTGAGGGAGAGGGGCCTGCCGAGCAGTAGCCCGGTGCAGCGAGCAGAAGGACAGCAGGCCTGGAGTCAGGCAGTTCGGTCCTGGCCCGCCTCCTGTGTTCGGCCATTGGCCACCCAACACATGGGCCTCTGCACTGTGTGTCTTTCGGGGCTTCAGATGGGACCAGAGATGTTTGTTTTCTTTGGGCCTGTTGCAACTGTTCACATAGGGATCTGGAGGGCTAGAAACTGAGCCTGTCTGAGACGGGTTTTTGAGTGATTCAAGAGGTAGAAACAGCATGGATCAGAAGAAAATGGGAGACTGGCAGGTTGTGGCCTTGGATAGCAGGGTTGGTGACCTAACACCCACAGGAGGGGAAACGGGTGCTATGAATGGTTCAGATTTGGCCATACTTGGGATAGAGGGGTCTGTGTGACAACTAGGTGGAGATGGCCAGAGGCCATTGGCTCTGCGTGTTCAGCAGGGTCCCAGACCTGAAAACAGACCAAAAAGAAATGGTCAGCAGTGTGTGGGGGAGGGAAGTAAAGGACATATTAAGATGAGATTTAAAAACCCAAATCAACAGTAGCTTAAATAAGATAGAAGTTTGTTTTTTTTTAAAGTCCACAGATAGATATTCTGGGACTGATACCAGCTCAGCCAGTCCTCAGGAACCCAGGTTCCTCTTATGGCACCGTTTTGCCGTAGGTAGCTTTTTGCCTTATGGTCCAAGATGGCTGCCAGTGTGCCAGCCATCATGTCCACAGTCTAACAGTCAAAAAAGGAAGAGGAGTAAAGCACACCCTTTCCCTTTAAGGAGTTGTCCTGGAAGTTTGCATTAACATCTCATTAGCTGGAACTTAGTCATGCGGCCATGCTTAGTTACAGGGGGGAATAGGGAGTTATAGGAAGAAATGTAGATGGTGTTGTAGAATTTAGGGCATGTGTCCAACTACAAATGTGAGCGTCTGTGATAAAAGAAACAAGTGAAAGTGGATGTTGGGGAAGAAAGGGATGAGGAGTGAGTGGGCACCAGGCAGATCATTGTGACCCTGGCCCCTTTGCCCCCTGGGGGACCTGGGCAAGGCTCAGAGCCTCTGTGTTCTTATCTTTAAAATGGGGATGGATAGTACCTTCTTGGGAGGATTACAAGGGCTGATGTGCTTAGAGAGAAGGCTTGGAACAGACCTGAGGGGTCCAGCTGTTGGGAGGGGGGCTGCTGCTGCCTGACCCCCCTTCCTGTAGGCCCACGAAGACTCCGAGAAGCTTCGGGAGATCGTGCTGCCCATGGAGCAGGAGATAGAGGAGCTGAAGGCGAAACTGCTCAGGGCAGAGGAGCTGATTCAAGAGATCCAGGTGAGGGGGCGGCCAGGGGGTGGCTGCGGGGAGAGGGGGGCGCCGCAGGACCCTGGCCCCCCAGCCTCTTCCCTGCCCCTTCCCCTAGAGACGTCCCCGGCATCCCCCTTCCCTGCACGGCTCCACGGAGTTGCTGCCCCGGTCCCGGGACCCATCACCCCCACTGGAGCCTCTCGAGGACCTGAGTGCAGACGGGGGTGCAGCGGCCGAAGCCTTCGCCCACAACTGTGATGACGGTGCCTCCATCTCTTCCTTCTCCCTTGGCGGCGGGGCCGGCAGCACCTCCCTGCCCCGCAGCCGCCAGGCCCTGAGCCCCGAGCAGGAAGAGACAGCTTCTCTGGTGTCCACGGGCACCCTGGTCCCCGAGGGTATCTACCTGCCGCCTCCCGGTTACCAGCTTGTCCCAGACACCCAGTGGGAACAGCTCCAAATGGAGGTGAGCAGAGGTGGGGGAGCAGCCTGCCGGGGGTGCTCGCATCCTTCTCTTCCTCCCCCGAAATGCTCACTGAGCCCCTACTGTGTGCACGCCTAGAGCTAGAACTGGGGATCAGGCAACAGAAGCAGGGCAGCCAGCTGGGAGCTGCCCACCCCCCACCCCCAGGTGCAGAAGGCAGGCCTCTACTCGGAGGCCAAGACTGAGGCCAGCATCTGTGGCAGGGGCGGCAGCTGCAGAAGGACCTGGAGAGCGTCAGCCGGGAGCGGGACGAGCTGCAGGAGGGTCTGAGACAGAGCAACGAGGACTGTGCCAAGCAGGTGGGGCCCGCTCTGCCACCCCTGCCACCGCCCTTCCCCTTCCCTGTCCCCAGCAGGGCCCCTGGCCACCTGCCTCCTGGCCCCGACCTCAGCCTCACCTCCTTCCACCCACAGATGCAAGTGCTCCTGGCCCAGGTCCAGAACTCAGAGCAGCTGCTGCGGACCCTGCAGGGGACTGTGAGCCAGGCCCAGGAGCGGGTTCAGCTGCAGATGGTGAGGGCTCGGGGCCGGGGCCTGAGGAACAGGCATGTGATGGGAACTGGCTGAGAGGGGCCCGCAGAGAGGTCAAGGCACCTGTCCTGCCCCACCCTAGCCCAGTCACTCCAGCTGCGCCCTGGAGTCAGGCCGGGTGCACAAAAGGTTTCCAGGGCCCACAAGTTCAGAGCCCTTGCCTGGCCTCTTTGAAATCCAGGTGGTAGGACCTCGCTCACAGCGTCATGAGTGATGCTTAAAATCGAGGCTTACAAATTCAGGTGCTTCCCAAGCTGGGACAGGAAGTGGAAATGATTTAGCCGGGCCAGGTGTAGACCGGAGGAAGCAGCGTGGCAAGCCTGGAGGCCCGCCCAGGGCTCTGCTGCCCTTCGGCTCTGTGATGAGAGCCCCCCACAGGAGTGCAAAGCTCCATGTTGCCATGTTTTCTGATTTGTCAAGAGGCCAGGAACCCGGGTGCTTCTGCATGTCACCAAGCTTTTAAAGTTGGTAACTAAGACCGTATGGACCCAATAGAACGCTCGAGGTGGCCTGCCCCTTATGACCTCTGAGCCATTGAGCAGGGATCAGGGACATCTGGCTGGCTAGCTGGTGGAGTGTGCGACTCTTGATCTCGGTGTCAAGTTCGAGCCCCACACTGGGCATGGAGCCTTCTTAAAAAAAGAAGAAAAAGAGCCTGGGGGGTCAAAGGTGCTTCTTTCTTTCTCCGCAGAGGAGGGTGTGGGCTTTCTGGCCATCAGCGCCATCGGGAGGAGGGTTCAGGGTTTGGCCTCATAGGGCACTGACGACGCCCTGTCCCCCTCATCCCCTCCTACTGAATGTCCGTCCACAGGCAGAGCTGGCCACGTCACACAAGTGCCTGAGCCACGAGGTGAAGCGGCTGACTGAGGAAAACCAGGGGCTCCGGGCCGAGCAGCTGCCGTCTTCAGCCCCCCGGGGTCTAGAGCAGGAGGAGGGCCCCGAGGAGTCGCTGCCCAGCTTGGTGCCGGTAAGGGGCATGTGGGTGCTGAGAGTGTGCTTGCCCTTTCCCTTTACACGCAGCAAGGCCAGGGGACCTTGGGACAGACCCGGGCTGCTGTGTATTTGCTGCGTCCCCTTGGCCAGCTCCCTCGACTCCTCGTCTGAAAAACTGGGAGCACACTGCCCTCCCGGCCTGGGCGTGCAGAGAACAGGAGTTAGCAGGATGTGCGACACGAAGGAAGCGGCGACTTTAAGTAATCCACAAAATTGAACTGATCGTCGTCTTGGTTTATAAGGAGCTGTCGGCAGGGATCTGGGTGTGGTGTTTGTTGACTGAGTTCATTAGAAGCACGAAGCCCAGACCCCAGGCCCCTTGCCCGCCCCCGAGAGCCACGATGGCTGCCCCCTGATGCACGCTTCCCATGCTCCCTGACTGGCTGCTGTCCTGACCTTTGTCGTTCCCTTGCTCGATTTTGGTGTCTTTTTTATTGCACAGACACGCCTGCCTCGACAACGGAGAACTAACTTGGGTTGTTTGAGCTTTACAAAGGGGTGTCCTGCCCTGGGCATGCTGGGGGGGACCCTCCCTCGGCGCTGTGCCCAGGGGTCCTCCAGGCCCAGTGGCTTGGCTGCCGGAAACGCTTCACTGCTGTCTCTGTGCGTCCCCCCCACTCCTCATGCTGGGCACTTAGGTGGTTTCCCTTTTATGTGTCCTCCCAACCTCCCAACCCCACCCCGGGACGGTGGCCCCTGTGGCCTCCTGCCCGCCCCCTAGCAGTGACCGGCCTCTCCTCCAGGAGCTGCAGCAGCTGGTACGTCACACGCGGCAGGAGGCGCGGGCCCAGCAGCAGGCCCGGGAGCACGAGGCTGAGCGCCTCCGGATCGAGATCGTGACACTGCGGGAGGCGCTGGAGGAGGAGACGGCAGCCAGGGCCAGCCTGGAGGGGCAGCTGAGGGTGCAGCGGGAGGAGACAGGTGAGGGATGGGGACCGGAGCCACCCCTGGCCTTGCTCCCAGGGAGACTGACCTCCCCCCCGGGGGGAGCACCGCTGGGGCACCAGGAGCGGGGAGCTGTTGTAGGAAGGAAGAACCCTGACCTCTCTTTTTTTCCTTTCCACGCAGAGGTGTTAGAGGGTGAGTACAGGGCTGGAGTCCAGCCGTGGGGGGTTGGGAAGGAGGGAGGCTATGGGCCTGACAGCTGGCCCCTGACTTCCCAGCCTCCTTGTGCAGCCTGAGGACGGAGATGGAGCGGGTCCAGCAGGAGCAGAGCAAGGTGAGGCTGGACTCCGGGGCCAGAGGCCCTGACGGCGGGAGGGGTGGCAGCACAGAGGCCCTCCCTGCCCCCTCCTGCCCTTGCTGTCCCCATGACGCCTGGTGGCAGGAAGCCCAGCCTCACAGGAGGTCCAAGTCGGGATGGTGTGGAAGGAGCTCCCCCGTGCAGACGTAGCGTGTCCCCAGCCACACACCCTCCCGTGCAGTGCGAGGCCCCAGCCCTGCGTCCTGTCCCCCCAGGCCCAGCTCACAGACCTGCTCTCAGAACAGAGGGCAAAGGTACTGCGGCTGCAGGCAGAGCTGGAGACCAGTGAACAGGTCCAGAGGGATTTTGTACGACTGTCCCAGGCCCTGCAGGTACGGTGTGTCCCCTTCCCCTCCGGCAGCCGTGATCCAGGTGGCTCAGCCTAGGCCCTACAAGGACAGCCCCCAGTCAGGGGGTCCTCGTCCACTTCCCGAGGCTGGCATCCTCCTTCCCCCTGGGCTGTTGCTCAGAAGCATTTAGGGACCTCACGTGCCCATCTCTGTGGAACATGTGGAGCCCTCGGCCCCGAGCCTGGCCTCCAGCTGGTTGGGTCAGCTCCTGCCTGCCCCTGCCCACACTGGTCAGGCTGCTCTCTTAGGACCCGTTTCTTCCCTTGAATCCTGGTTTCACTGTGAGCTGGGGAAGGTGGGGCCCCTGGGTAGACTGGTCCCAGGCACTTGCCCATGGCAGGGCTGGCAGGAGGGGATGGAGGCTGCGTTTCCCCACCAAGGGCCCTCTTCCTCCCTCACCGGACCCCACAGGTGCGCCTGGAGCAGATCCGCCAGGCAGAAAGTCTGGAGCAAGTGCGTAGTATCCTGGGTGAGGCGCCCCTCAGGGACATCGGGGACGTCAAGGACACCTGAGGGGCTGGAAGCCGCCCACCCTTGTGGAGACTGCCTTTCCCCGCCCCGGAAACAAGAAGCCTGGGCTTTGGGAGGGGGGAAGGGGGGTGTCTCAGGATAGAGTCTTTGTCCCCTCCAAGCCTGGGGTTAAGAGGATGGGGCCACCACTGTGCTATCTCTCCAGCTCCTTCTCCCAGGGTGTCTGGCCTTCTGCTCCCAAGGAGGACACCTGGCTGGGAATCCCAGCCCCCTCCAGGAACCAAAGGTGTAGACTTCGCCCTGCGGCTTTCTGGCTGCCATGCTGCCTCTTGGGTCCCAACCCTCCTGCCGCTGTCCCCCGAGCCAGACTAATGGCTGTGCCTCTTAGGGCGCCGTCCCTTCCCTGAGGCACAGCCCAGCTGCGGGTGGTGGCTGGGAGCCTCCAGCCCATGGCAGCCAGTCCCTCCACATGCGCAACCTGGGACAGGCTGCTGCTTTCTGGACTGCATGACACTAAGACGCTTGTCCCCGGGGGCCTGACCCAGGCCCCAAGATGTGCACGGAGGCAAGACCAGATTTTTCTGTCATTTATTTTCAATAAATAAGCAGCTCAGCTCAATCCGTCGCCTTGTCCCTGCAAGCCCCATGGGGTCGGGGAGGGGAGGTTTTTCAAGAGCAGAAGGGAAGACGGGCTGGGGAGGAGGGAGAGGGACCCTCGTGTTTATAAACAGAAAAATGTCGGGGAGTGGAGGGGACGTGAGAGTCTGTGCCACAGCTCTGGCTGAAGATGCGTCACTATTGGGGCGGGGAAGAAGGGGCAGAAGGACTGGTTACTTCCTTCTTTCATCTTCGGGGTCTGGAAGGAGAAAGGGAAGAGTAAGGGCAGGAGGGGAGAGGAAGAGTCCCTCCCGGGCTCTCCAGGCCTCCACGCCCACACACTCACCTGGAAGGTCAGTGCAGCCTCCCCCCCACCCAAACTCCCCGACTCACCTGTGCCCGGGCCCCCCCCCCCCCCCCCCCCGCCCCCCCCCCCCCCCCCCACCGCAGCGGACAACCCAGTGCCCAGCGCAGCGCAGCCCAGCCTTTCGGCCGCTGGGCGGACCCAGAGTCAGGACAGCGGCCCGCCCCGCCAGGAAGCTTGGCCGTGGCAGCAGCAGCAGGGGGGGACAGCGAGCGCTAGTGACCTCGGGTGCCACCGAGGAGGAGAGGAGAGTGCATGGGGGCGGGCACAGCAGCTGGGGCGAGGGCGAGAAGAGGGCGATACCTGTGACACGGTTCAAAGAGATGGAGGAAGGGGAAACGGGTTATCCTATGGCCAGAGAGGACAGAGAGACAGAGTTACGAAGGGTGGAGGCAGCCGTGGAGGGCCAAGAGGGCTGAGGAGGCTGCGGGCGCCTTCCCAGGCTCAGAGGCATGGGGGCTCAGGGAAGGGACGCTGATCCTCTAGGGGCCAGGGCACCCCGCTGAAAAGGAAGGGGGGGCAGGTGCCTTCGCAGCGCAGAGGGAGGGCTTATGGGGGGACCGGGGGCAAACAGGGATCGGAGAAGGGTTGTGACTTACCCTCCAGGTAGTTCCGAGCAATGAACTTGAGGAGCTCATCGAGCCCAATGACTGGAAATGAAATCTTCAGGACCATGAGCCACTGGGTGAGGTCCAGGGCCCGGAGCTTGAAGATCATCTGGGAGGGCGGGTGGAAGGTGGTCAGGACCAGTGTCCCTCTCAGGAGGGGCCGGGCAGGAGCCCCAGACCACCCCAGCCTGACTCCCTCCTCCCTCTGTCTGCACTGCAGCCCAGAGAGGCTCCTGGAGGGGCACAGAATGGTGGGTCCTGGCCCCAGAGGGCTCACCGGCAGAGGGTCGACGTAGAGGATGAGGAAGTGGAGGGACATGGAGAGGCAGATGGAGCCCACCAGCCAGATGTTCACCCAGGGGGGCATCCGCAGGAGGGACTGGTTCTCAGACAGGCTGCGAAGGGGAGGCCGAGTGGAGCCCGGGGTGGGGGACAGCAGAAAGCAGTAGTGAGCACAGAGAGGAAGGCGGAGGGCACAGCAGCGGCAGGGGCGGGCGTGCAGCCCTCACCTGTTGAGAGCGTTGCACATCTCGATGGTAACCAGCACGGACAGGGCCATGGTCATGGGCTCGGGGGCCTCAAAGACCTCACAGTCCACGCCCTCAAAGTCAGGGTTTTCCTCGTTGCATTGCATGAAGTGAGTCTGCAGGGGGAGGGGTGAGGAGCTGGGATCCCACAGGCGCCTCCACGCCTCCCTCCTGCTCCCCACCCTCCTCCCTCCTCTGTCCTCCCTACCAGCTGGCTGTAGGTGACGTGAGGCCCATCATCTGCATACAGGAACCACCAGGCGGCCGCTCCCACGGTGGCTGCACCCACGTAGCCTGCGGTAGACAGAAGATGGGAGTTGGGGTCACGGCTGGGGAGACGGGAGGTGTCAAGAGGGCTCACGGCCACGAACGGCTCGTTGGGGAAGAGGGCCCACTGGGGCGGCCATGCTAGGGAAGTGGGTGTGCCACCCTGGGGGTTAGTCCCAAGGGTTGGGAAGGAGTAGGGGGTCCTCCATCCATCCTGCTCACCCCCAATCGCCATGTAGCGGAAGAAGAGCCAGCCACTGATGAGGGGCTCCTTGGGGCTCCGGGGGGGCCGGTCCATAATGTCCAGGTCTGGCGGGTTGAAGCCCAGGGCTGTGGCAGGGAGCCCGTCAGTCACCAAGTTCACCCACAGCAGCTGCACGGGGATCAGGGCCTCGGGCAGCCCCAAGGCGGCGGTCAGGAAGATGCTGCCAGAAGGAGGTGGTCACGTGTCTGTCCTGCCTCCTGACCCATGGGCAGCACCACCCCCACCGGCCCCCAGGGCCAGCCTCCCGCCCTGGCCACTCACCAGACCACCTCGCCCACGTTGGAGGAAATGAGATAGCGGATAAACTGCTTCATGTTGTTGTAGATGGCGCGGCCCTCCTCCACCGCGGCCACAATGGTGGAGAAGTTGTCGTCGGCCAGCACCATTTCGGACGCCGTCTTGGCCACGGCAGTGCCAGATCCCATGGCAATGCCGATCTCGGCCTTCTTCAGGGCAGGTGCGTCGTTGACCCCATCACCTGTCTGAGGGCAGAACAAGAAGGTGGGATGCAAACCCTTGCACATAGCCCTTCCTGGTGGGCTGAACCTCCCTTGTGCTGCTCAGGTGCCCAGGGTGCCCCCCAACGTGCCCCCCAGCAGTACAGCCCCGCCGTCCGCTCACCATGGCTGTGATCTCATCGTAGGACTGCAGAAACTCCACGATCTTCGACTTGTGGGACGGCTCCACGCGGGCGAAGCAGCAGGCACGGCGGCAGGCCTCCCGCTGCTCGGCCAGGGGCAGATCGTCGAACTCCCGGCCAGTGTAGGCTCGGTCAGTCACCTCGTCATTCTCCCCGAAGATGCCGATGCGCCGGCAGATGGCAATGGCCGTGCCCTTGTTGTCCCCAGTGATCATGATGACTCGGATTCCGGCATCCCGGCACAGCTGAATAGAGCCTGTGACCTCCTTGCGGGGTGGGTCCAGCATGCCCACCACGCCGACGAACGTCAGGTCCGTCTGGGGAGACGCCAGAGAGCAACAGGGTCAGGGAGGGACTCGGGAAATGAGCCAGGGAGGAAGCTGGGGGGCCGGAGGGATGGTGGGAGATGGGGCCGGGTGTGCAAATCTCAGTGGGGCCTCGTAAGCCCAGGGGCAGGAGATGTACCTTGCTCACATGTGTGCCTGGGGATGTGGCACTGCCCGGCCCAGCAGAGGTGGCCGCCCGTGGATATTTCAAGGAAAGAGCTAGAACTGGGAGTTAGGGCAGTGGTTTCTGCTTTTGGAGGGGCCACTCGCTGGGTCTACAGGCCTAAGCAATTCCAGGCTACCTGCCGGGCCACTGGGTCCCGACAAGAAAATGAAAGAATGGACTCGGGTGCCCTTCGGAGAGCTGGTCTGCAGCAAGGTAAGGCCCATGTACCAGAGTGCAGGTCTAGCCCCGCTCTTGCATTGGGAATATCTTATCAGGGAAACATGGGACAGAACTGAGGATGCCTGGGGACCACATGGGTCTCTGGTCTGGAGGCAAGTGCCTCGCCTCATCTGGGACAGGTTCACGGCCACCGGCAGAGCAGCCCTGGACTCACTAGATGGCTCCTACGGTCCTTCCAGATTCTAGGTTCTTCCCTGTGACTCTAGGGCCTGTGATGCAGCAGGACACAATGTGGGCAGAGCCAGGGGAGGCAGATGACTCTGGGGCAAGGGGGGCTTCTGTCCACTCACCTCATATTCCATGAACCTGGCAGAGTCATCCAGGATCATCTCTTCTCGTTTTGGGGGGCTGTCTCGGGTAGCCAGGGCCAGGCAGCGCAGCGTGTCCCGGCCAGTGCCCCACTCCTTGATCACTGACATGATCTTGTCCTTCACCGGCCCCGTCATGGGCACCCGGGTGGTGCCAACTCGCACGTAGTTACAGCGGTCAATGACCCCCTCAGGGGCACCCTAGGAGACCAGGCAAGGTTTCAGGGACCCCTTTCTTTCAGGGCACAGTGATGGAGGGCAGGGATAGGAGAGGGCTCCAGGACTGGGAAGAAGATTTCTGATTTCTGACCTTAACAAACATCTTGTTGCCCACGGCAGCCCGGGATTTGGCTGGGGAGCAGTAGACAGACATGGACTTCCTGTCCCGGGAGAACTCCAGGGTGAATTCCTTCTTCATTAGCTGGCGGATCACCTGGGAAAGAGGAGACGGAGAGGGAGAGGCCAGACATGAGACTGGTGGGATAAGAATGATGATGCTGCATCATAGAAGGGCAGAGTCCCAGACCCCGTAAAACATAGTCAAAAAGGATCTGGAGGTCAGAGCAGACCACAAGCCGAGTCTCAGACTGGGGCTCCGTCTGGTACCTATAGCACAAACGGAGAGAGCTTCAAGACCGGTGCTGTGGCTTTCTTACAGTGTCCAGTTTAAAGCACAACTAAAACAGGATGGCACAGTATGGCACCATCTAGAACTTTCGGTGGTGATGGGAATGTTCTGTAATCAGAACCATCCAATATGGTGCCACTGAGCACGGTTATTCAGCATGGAAAAATGTGG